TTTTTCAGAAGATTTTAATAAAACTTGCATAGACATGGAGATCCTGTACTGAAGAAACAACCTTAAATATTATAGGCTCACAAAAAGTGCGCCTAAGCTAGAAATATGCTACCTAGTTTATATTTTTTTAAAACCTATTAAGTTAGTAGTTGCATAATTGTTATCTTATTAATTAACAGGCTAACTACATTCATGTTTAATTATTATATTCTACAATTCTTAAACTGATTCTGAAGATTCTTAAAATTCTTTGTCACTATAAAATACGTCTGTAATAGTCTGGAGAAATTTAGGCAATTTTTTATGAACGTATGACACGATATGAAAACCACAATGTGTTAAATGTATTTTTTTATAATACCGTTATAACCTTTCATTTTTAATACAGTACCTAAAAGTTTGTTTGAGCTGGTCATGGTAAAATGTGGTCTAGCAACTACTAATTCTGGTTCGATATCTACCTCGGCCTGCTTGATATCAAGTAGAAGTCAGATTAAAGATTTTAAATATGATAACGCGTGAAGATTGCCTTCAGGGAACTTTTCTGCAAAAACGGTAAAAATTCCAAAAACATACTAATTAAGTGTGTTGAAAATTTATTATAAATTGAAAAAAGTTAGTTAGTATTAGTTTTTATGTATATTTTTGCATAATATTGTATTTTAATTTGCAGTTTGATAATATCAATCGAGTATTTACTAAATTGTTAAAAAAAATTGAGGGAGGCGTAACAATTTTTTTTATTAAAGCGGGCGGGCGCGGTGCTAAAAAGGTTGAAAACCACTGGATTTCTGGGCTGCCTTCTGTTAAACTATGAAAATTTTACTGAATGTCTTCATATATAATATTAACATATCAAAATTTAAAAATATAGTATTTTATTATCATGTCAAATTATTCAATTTCGATTTTTTAAACATTGACTATTAGTTTAAAAAGTTGTACAATGTGCAATGACCCCTGAGCAAAACAATTAATAAAATAAGCGGATTTCATTATTTTTTAACGACATTTAAATGATATGTCGGTATTTTGACAATATTCATAACGCCGTGGGTTTTTCGAATGCGTTTTGTAAACGATTTTTAGCCCCAGGATATTCGATATAGAAATAGAACGTTGCACACGAGTTATTTAAGTTTAGATTATATAAATAATAGAAATATGAATGTATATATAAAATACATATAAAATGTGCAACAAGTTGTGAGGTACAAGTTGAAGGTAGTTGTGAACAGTTTAGGTGAAGGTAGTTGTTAGTGCATATTTTTTTGCCTTAATTATTTATAGTAAGTAAGTAAGTTATATATATATATATATATATATATATATATATATATGATAAAAATTGTTTCTTGGGCATCCATCCAATAATTAAAAAAACAGTTTTAATGCAAAATGTTTTAATTAAGAGAACATACGTTTCGGGTCCAGATTTGACCCATCTTCAGTGCATACAAATAAATTTTAAAAAAATATAACACAAAGAACAACACAAAAATGCAACGAAAAAATAAGTATGAAATGAAAAATTGAAAAAACATCAAGTTATGAAAATTTTTGAAAATTGTAAAAACTAAAATAAATAATGGAGTTGTCTCATTCTCATAAATGTTTCTAACAGTGTCAACATTAGATCAGATCACAACCTATTACATGATTCATATTTAAATTTTTTACACTTTTTGACAAACAATTAATATCGACTTCCTTTTAAGATCAACAATTTAAGTATTCACACCCTGACATATAAAAACACACACATACAATCTCACATCTCTCGTTCAAGTGTTTACACGTGTTACAAAGGACACACCAGTTTCAATTAGTTAATTTTCGAAAGCCAATCGAACAACATCCAGAGAACAATATTATTTGTGTTTTCAAATAATAATTTTTAAAAAAGACAAATCTTTTAGTAATTTTGATTTACAAAATCTAATTATTCGGCGGAAAATTAACTCACAAATTCATTTTTGTTAAAAAAGCTTGTTTAATGAAAAAGTGCTAACAAATATTCAAACATACAGGTAATTAATTCAACTTTGTCATTAACCTTTTCTTAAAAAATTTCCATAACTTTCAAAAAAAATTTCTATTATGTTTAATATCCTGTTCTGATAATCCACTCATTTATTTTTATCATTTTTATCATTTTCATTTTGAACATATTATCATATTTCTGTACATTATTATATTTTTTTGCAATTAATTCATTATTTAAGAAAAATCTATTTTCTTTTCCTAAACATATTGTTTGCTAAAATCTCATCAAGATCATGTTTCTTGACAGATGTCCTGAAGATGGAACGTACCTAGTTCCGAAACGTCGACAATAAACAAATAATTAAATAAAGAAATTGTTTTTTTAAAAACTTTTCTTGTTTTTTATTTTGTATTATTTTTGGATTCTTGTTCGAAACGCTACAAAATATACACAAATCCAAGACTCTACCATTCAATATATATATATATATATATATATATATATATATATATATATATATATATATATATATACTAGCTAACCCGGCAAACTTTGTTTATCTATAACCAAAGTAATTAGTTAAAAAATAACAAAGTGATTGTGATTGTATGTGGTATATAACTGAAAGGAAAAGCTAACATGGAGTATATGGACAGTTTACCCACTGCAAAGCATGCCACATTTAGCGATTCAATGTTTTTATATATTTTGGTAGGAGGGTGAAAATTTAGGGCTGTAAGTGTCTTTCAATTACAAATTATAAACAAATGGTCCAAAAAAAAAGTGTAAGGATGGCCAACCTTCACCACTTAGGGGTATAAAAAAATGTTATTTGATTCCCAGTTATACTGACTGAACATGATTGTAAAATTTCATGAAAATCGGTCAAACCGTTTCGGGAAACTATTTTCTTTTTTTTCTTTTTTTTAAACAAGTACCTTGCCATAATGTTAAAAAAAAATCTGTAAATTTCAGTTCTTAATATTAACAAATTGTTGAGAATACCTTTATATTTGCTTATGTTGATCATAGATAACAAATTTACGACAAAAATTTGATATACTTTATAAAATAAGTATTTACTTAGAAGAACCAAGAAACTTTTTTTCTTATTTATTTTACATGGCTGTAGATCTTGCGATCAATACGCCAGTTATAATTTTACATAACCAAGAAACTTTAATTGAAGTGCGGACTATCTTAAAGTGAATATTAAGAGCTAAAACTTCCAAAGAAATTTTTTCATCAATTTTGAAGCATTTGACTCTCTGGGAGCAAGGAAATTCGAAAACATCCATATTAATGACCACCCTATATATGTTGCTATATGCAAATACATAAATATTTGTTGATTTATCATACATATAGTTATATATAACAAAGTACGCGAGAATGGAATAAAAGTCGCGGAACTGGTAATGATATAACGCTCTTGGCAAATGGTAAGGGCAATAAACAATCTGAATCGACGTGTCCGACGATTCGGCACTAAACATGCAATAATGTACCTACTACTACCAAGTATTTGTCGTACATTCCTAAATGGCAAAGCAATACATTTCTCCTACGAACTTCGTCTCTCGGATGCCATTTCTCTCCTTCGACTATTTATTTCACTATCCCATGATGTGGGTCATGTTCATTATAGAGAAAAGCAATGCAAGTATTATTCGAGCATCAATCATTAACTAATTTCGCGACGACGACGACGATGCCGATGCTGAAGCAATTTTAGCGCACGACCGAATTGCATGGTGACGTGACACCGAATTCAAATTCAATGGAATTTGTTTATGTTGTCATATTAGGGACTTTTTTTCCAATCGGGCTGATTGTTATAGTTACAATTATCTGTTGGTTTTTATCTGGTTTCGTGTAGACGATGGTTCATATTTGCGATTTGGTATCCAGTGGTATCCATTTGTACTTAAAGTTTTGGCCCACCACCATTAGGAGGCGTCCATTAATCACGTGATTGCTTTTTAAGGATTTTTAGACCCCTTCCTCACCCTTGGTAATACTTGGTGATATTTAAAAAAAAAACCCCTCCCTCACCAAATCATGTATATTTTTAGTACCTAGAAAATATCGTTTTTTTTTTGAAAAAATTTGGATGACATCGTTAAGGCAAATTTCTAAACAAGAAATTAAAAAAAAATGAAATCCATTTTTTTTCTTCCAAAAGCTATTGTTTTGCCAACACACGCAGAAAGCTTTTTCAATCATTTAAATCGGATGCTTAGTTCTCTCAAAAACTGCAATTTTTTGTACATTGAGCTCTGTATCTTGGAAATTACTGGAGCTACCTTTACCAAAAACCAATCACCACTTCTCGCAATCATTATAAATTTATTTTTTTGGATCATTCAAATAGGATACTCCGTTCTCCCAAAATTTTGATTTCTATTATCTTTACTCTTTGCTCCGTATCTCCGTAACGGCTGGACCTGCCTTTGCCAAAAACTAATCATCACATCTCCCTATCAATAGGCATCGAGTGTCTTTTGAACCATTTAAATCGGTTGATCCGTGCGTCCGAAAACGTGGACGAAAAATTGTATCAATATATACATACACACACATCCATTTTTTCTGGGGTATGCCAAAATGTTCAGAAACCTCTGAAACGTGAAGATATGCAAAAATTTTCATTTTCGATTTTCGGCCTATTACTATAACTACCCTACGGTAAGTTAAAAATGAAAATGGTGGATTTTTTTGCCCCTTGGCTGTCTGTTTTTACTCCACCTATGGGGTACAAAGGACCAGGTGATAAAAAATAGTGAGAAAAATATTATTATTATTATAGTATTATTTATACTATCTAATTTCTAGAAGACAACCCAGTGGTTATTTGATCTATTTTAATATGTTTTATATTAGAAATTTTATATATGAAATTTTTTCCTAGAAATATCCATAAACAAATAATTATATATTATAAAATTATTTATATTTGTTTATAACTTTATAAATTTATACATTTATTATAATGACTGAAATTTTTTTTTAGGTCGAGATGTCATCATTTCTACAAGAATTACACAGCAACTATAAAGAAATAAATATTGGCACAGGTAATTTCTATTTTTTAAATTTGTGGTCTTGTGAATTGGCCACAATTATTATTATCAAATATGTAGAGGTATAAAATATTATTTTGAGAGCAATTTCTGATACTTATTACTACTTTAATTTAACATAACACTAAAAGAGTACATAAATCACTAATAAAATAATCATTCAAGTGAAACAATAACCAGGTACTGTTATAATGATAAATTATGTATTATTTCTACTAAAGTATATATTTATACAACAACTACTTGGATTTAAAATTTTATTTTTATTTAGAATGCAGTTCAATGATTTTTAAAAAGTCATTGACGTTTATTACTAAATTTGCAGAAAATCGTTGAATTGCATTTGATTTGAATAATTTAAATTTATTTGCGAAAATGCGCATTGTTAAATTTTTTTAATGGATATTCATCTTATGCAAGTTGTGGAATTAAATCGGAGAATTTTCAAATTTGAATTCATAGAATCGGAAATTGACCCTGGGTAAAATGAATCGATTTTATTTATTTATTTTTTATTATGACTGAAAAAATGCCTTAAGTATATTTAATTTTAAAGACAAGGATGGATTGTAAAATGTCTTAAGATTTTAATTATTTTTTGATAATTTGTATGCTTAAGAGTTATTACTAAATAGTTTGCAAATTTTATATTTAAACAAATTAACACAAAACTTCCAATTAGAAAATTATGTGGTTTAATTTTTTTTAAATTTAATGTACTTTTATATGATTAAACAAATTAACTCAAACCTTCAATAATCCTTTACATAAGTTTCCTTTGGCAACTACTTAATCGATTTTTGATCATTACCAGTTGTTTTCTTCCAATTTCAGATCCTGATGTCGACAAATGGCTTTTTATGCAATCACCAGTTCCAGTAGTAACTATTTTAAGTTTATACTTATATTTTGTCCTAAAACTTGGGCCACAATGGATGTCGACGAGAAAACCATTCCAGATGAAACCACTTTTAATTGCCTACAATGGATATCAAGTTTTATTTTCGATATGGCTTTGCTCTCATGTAAGTTATGATAATAATAGTAATAGTAATAGTAATAAATATATGAGAATAGTTTTGCGGTTGATAGTTATGCTGATTTGCATTTGTGATGTAATCAGAAAACCTTGAAGTGATATAAATTTGCCTGTTAGTTTTATATCAATTGCAATATGAATAATTGTTTTTACGATAATTTATAGAGGATTTTATGATGTGATATAATTTTCTGGCGTTGGGTCAATATTTATGCAAATGTGTGGTAATGATACAACTATAAATGTAAAGATTGATAAGTATTTTTAATTTTTCCAAGGAGAAGTTTATGTTTTTGCCAGAAAATCTGGTTTGCTAATTTTATGCTTTCTTGCCGTTTCAAGTCATTGCACTTGCACAAATTGCTAAAATATTGATTATTTTTGGTTTTCAACTGTGACCACATGGATCATTTTTTTTTTGCTAGGCACCACATCTCCAAATCTTACAAATTCTAGAAGTAACTCTTGTTTTTCCTAAAGTTCATAACTCTGATCCAAAAATCTTCACACAACATTATCTCAGATCTACTAAAAAAATATAAAATTATCATATTTATATAAATTTGATTTATAATCTCAATTAATGGTTTTTTAATAAAAAAGAGTATTCGAAGGTCTATTATTGACTTTAGGATAATTTGGACGTGTGGTATCTCATACCTTTCATTTCATAATTATAAAATATACATGATTTGAAACAGCCTGATATCAAGTAGTAATGATAAAAAAATAAATAAATTACAAATTAAATTCTGTTTTTTGGATTTATTGAAATAATTGACTTTTTGTTGAAGTTTTCTCAAAAACAGCAGTACCCATTTCCTAAATATGAAATCCATTTCATCTAATTCGTTCATAAGTTTAGGGAGACTATCGTCGAAACCATTTCTTTATAATTAGGACTATGTGATTTATACTTATTTATTTATTCATTTATATTTTAGATTTTCGAAGTTGATTTTCGGCATCTGCTGAAACATGGTTGCCATCCTGCCTCCAGGAAAGGACCCTTCTTCGATGCGGTAATTTATAAAATTATTAAACCAAATATATTTATAATTATATTTTTCATATATCCTTTATTCTTACAGTTAGCAAAAAGCGCGTGGTGGTACTTTTTCTCAAAACTTGTCGAATTGCTGGATACTGTATTTTTTGTTTTGAGAAAAAAGCAAAATCAAGTCACATTTCTTCATGTTTATCATCACACAATTACAGCACTTTTCTCATGGGGGTATCTCAAATACGTTCCAGGTAATAATAAAATAATAGTAATTAGAGATATTATTCATATACATAAAATGATTTGTCTACAATATGAGAAGTAAAATAATAGAACCTTTTTATTTAGTTATAACATTTTTTTCCTAGGTGAGCAAGGAATCGTGATCGGTTTCTTGAACTCCTTCGTCCATATAGTGATGTATTTCTACTACATGGTGGCAGCAATGGGTCCTGAATACCAAAAGTACCTCTGGTGGAAAAAATACATGACATGGATCCAATTGGTAAGAACTACTTTTATAAGTCACTTCATTAAGTCGTTCGAATAGAAAGTTAATAGTTATAACCGTATCGAGATTTATTAAGAAAGTGTTTAGATTTTACTGCTTTGTCTTAAATGAGCTTTTACTTACAACGCGGCGATGGAAGGAAATTGAATGCCTATTGTTTTATTGAACGATTTATGTGACAGTTTATGATGGTTTACAAAGTAGGCCTCCTGATGCCCTCGTGAGTAATTGGAACAAAATGAAGAAGTAAATAATCCAGAGTATGTACGATAGTGCTCAATCTTACTACGATAGTACGCTATACTACTACAATATTATATGATCGTACTACGATATTGTACGAACCTACTACGATATTGTATGATCGTATTCCGATAATATACAATACTACTACGATATTGTACAATCGTACTTCGAAATTCACGATTGTACTATGATATTGTACCATCGTACTATGATAGTATGACAACTTACTATAATCTTCGGGAAGTGAATAATATTATATTGCGGCCAAATGCAACGAGACCAAAAATATCTATTATTAACCCTATTTTTCACAAGTCTTAGGTGATCGTTTACCTTTAACCTGTATCTTTTTTCCTCAGACCCAATTCTGCATGATGTTGGCATACTTGGTCTTCATCGTCGCCATGGACTGCAACCTGCCTCGTTCCCTGACCTTCTTCTTTGTGGGTAACGTGATCATTTTCTTGTATCTGTTCAGCGACTTCTACAGAAAGACCTACAAGAAAAATGAGGATGCCTCGGCAAAGAAATTAGCCCACTCGAACGGCACCAAAGCAGTCAAGTGCGAATGATTTAAGGACCAAAATCGAGATAATTGATTTGTTATTGCCAAATATTAATAGAATCGATCACAAATAAGTTATCACAGAGGATATTTATGTAAATTAGACATTTTTATACTGAACGTTATTTAAATTACCATTTAAACGGGAAGAGTTTGATGTAAATTCGGGGCCAATTCTCCCATAAAATAGACCGTAACATAGAGTTGTTATGACAACGCCTAATCACACAGCAAATACGTAGCAATTTGACAGGTTTTACTACCAATTTATATGGAGAAAAGACTGTTATGGTCTATTTTATCTGTGAATTGGCCCCTATATGTGCCTGCCTTATAGGCACGCCTTCACCAAATGTTTTCTGCGCATTAAAAATACGAATCGAATGTTTTGAATCATCCTAGTCGATTCAGTGCAGCCATTCATATATAATATATTTTTAAGGTGTGCCATACAAACCAGAGATTCTTAAAATGCAAAGATTTAAAACAAATTTTGGATAAAAAATTTAATTTTCAGAATATACTTTTGTTGAAACAACGAGAATACATTGGACTCTTCCCTACTGTTAATCTTCAAATTTTATACACAAACTTTAACTCACCAAATAATTTTAATCAAGAAATTTATTAATGGTAAATTAAATAACTCTAATAAAACTAACAACAAACATAATATTTTTATAATACTGTCTTCCATGAAATTCGAATTTATTTAATTTATTGTTTAGTTATAGGATATAAACATAATTTTTTAAAAAGTCCATAGATTTATCTAAATCAAAGTGGCACCAAAATAAAATAACAACAAAGTGTTTAACTTTGTTCATTTTATACTAGTTAATATTTTGTTCACCAAAAATATAACTAAATATCATATCAGAATATTTTACCATTTTGAAGACCAACGCACTATTTGTGCAACTAATTTATTTATTTAACATTAAGTTTTTTTAGATTTTATTTTATTTTCTAAGAATAGGTGGATTATTTATTTTATAATTTATGTGATAAAATTTCGGTTAAGTTTAAATTTAGTTTGCTAATGTTTTCAATAAAAAGTCTTACAAAATTTAAACTGTTTTTATTTTTTGATAAAAGACATATATTTATAATTAATAATTGATTTGTATATGAATTCGATTTTTGCCATATGTACCATATTTACCTTCAACGTTTTTGCATTAAATTTAGAAGCAAAAGTATTTATTTATATGTAGTGTACTTAAAATAAAAAAATATACACTTTCAAAATAAAAATATGAAAACAAACCCAAAATTGTATAATTTAAATATATTACATTTTTATGAATTATAACAATTTTTTAATATTTTTAAAAGCAAATTTGTATCAGCAGTATGAATAACAATATTTTTTTATTTGTTATACGACTTAAGTACATTTTATAATAAACAACATTTTTGTATTGTTTGATTCATCTTTAAAAATGTTGAGAAACTTTGTTATTTAATATACAAAATATTTTACGTTCCTCCCTCCTTCTGGTGGTCATTTATGTAATTTACCTTTTGACAGAAGGAAAGAAATTTAATATTGGTAGTGATGGATTATTTTTTATTCTGTGTGCACATGTATATTTATTTAGTGTCTCATTTATTGGAATTGTAGTTAAATAATGATAATAAAATAAATGATGTGGTTGTTTCCTGGATTTTGAAAAATGTCCAGTGATTTTGTGAAAAAAAACAAGGTTTCAGAGGAAGGCTTAGGCGCGTAACTAAAGGTATGCATTAATATACTATCATAGATGATAAACCGGGTGTCCAAAATTAGTTAAAAATAATTACTATACAATATCATGTATATATATATATATATATATATATATATATATATATATATACATATATAATGATACTACGTCGTAAAAACCTAGGTGTAAATGGCATTATTACTGCCTAAGGTAAGTGGCAAAAATCTATTTAATCGATATGAATGGACATTTAGCAAAATGGTGACCACATAATTTTAAAATTTTGGCAGGGGCTGTTGTTGATATAGTAAAGTTTTTTTACTTCAAAATGCAAAAAGGACAAAATATATAATTAGCAGCACATTATAGTCATATTTCAATTTCTTTTAACACGTTAATCACCATGTCTTTCATATGTGTCTGACGCTAAGAAGTTCTATATGAGTCATTTCAGCAAAAAAAGTTTTGATATGGGGCCATGTCAGTCATATATGTGTGACAAAAAAATAGTTTTTTTCCAGGAATTTTGGCAACATATTTTTTAATACATTAAGTTAAGGGCGTCCATTAATCACGTGAGGTTTTTAGGGAGAGGGAAGGTTTGGCAAAAATGACAAAATATCACGTGGGGGAGGGAGGGGTATAGCAAGATATCACGTGTATTTATTTTCTAACTATTTTTTTTAAAAAGGTTGAAACATTTTCAAAAAAAATCAAAAATGTTAGTTTTTACACGTATCTCAAAATGCACGTGATGTTTGTGAAAAAAGGGGGGGGGGTGTAATTTTGAATATTACCATGTATCACTAAGGGGGAGGGGGTGTCCAAAAATCCTTAAAAAACTCGCTCACGTGATTAATGGAGGCCCTCTTACATTGATACATTTTTGAATAAATTATCTAATAAAGTTACCATGGCCCATGCGATTTTTATTTTATATTCTCGTGACGATTAACGTGTTAAAATAATTTAATTATTGGAATTTTAGTTTTGAATAGTGTATTATATATATATATATATATATATATATAATTATTTACCTATATCGGTCCTGCGGTGGCGTAATCAGTTCAGGCGTAGGCTACCACAAACTAGTCCCGGGTTTGCTGGTTCGGTACCATCTACGGTCAAAATCTTACATCAGGCAGCATTGATGTCAAATTTTCACTTGAGGTTATAGATCTCAGGTGAAAATCGCATTTCGTGGGTATAGCTGCATATAAATAACGACAAATAATTCAAATACAGTTAATTAGTCATAACTGGGTTCCCACCCATTCTGAAAAGCCATATAATAATGTGAAAACGATTACTGAATGTTCTAGTATGACACATTGTTGTTAAAAGTATAACAAAATAAACATAATAAAATAAATAAAATAAAAAAAAAGTTTGTATCTACCTGCTGCCCTCATCCGACCTCTTACAAACATACATTATTTTTATTTTATTTTTATCCTACAGTATTCGAAGTTCTACATATTTTTTGTAATATTGTGCTTGTATTTCATTCAATTTCTTCATACAAAATGCCTGGATGTGACATCAATACCTCTTCCATGCGAGTCGAGCGTGTTGCCATCATGGTCATGTTTTTCCCAAAAATGCTGTAATTATACGCCTGAAACATTCTTTCATAATCAAAATAATAGAACAGCAGAATATTGAGATATGCTTTCAGGCGGATTTCGATAAAAATCAGTTATTTATAAAATATAAATAATTTATAACAGCTTGCTCAAACGGAATGCAGTCAACCCTTCTATAACGCGATACTTCTACAGTGCGGTTTTCGTTCAACAGCCCATGAGTTCTTTTCTATGAAAGAATTTACTAACTAGATAGTGTTGTAAAAGGTTTTAATATATGCTTTATCATCGATTATTTTATCTTTTACTGTATAAATATATTGTAAACATGCCAGTTAATATCATAACAATATGCAACTTTGGTTTTAGTATTGCCAGAGTTCTTTCATAGAACGTTAGTCTTTCTAAAAAAGATTCTGTTTGAAATTTGTTTTGTGAACAGTTTTTTTAGTTTAGATTTCAGATGGATTTTTTATTCCAATAAAAACAATTTAAAATTTATAATGTCATTTTTTCTATTTATTCATCTTCATATAATGCAGTACAAATAATGTAATTTCTCCTATTTTCGAGCTTCTTATAGCGCGATTTCCGTATTGTAGGAAAGTTTATGTATATTTTTATGAACACATTTCAAAATCATACATAAATTGAAGTCCACGTTATATGAAACATGTAAAAGTATATTGTTATACAAGCAGGGTCGTTAGTTCGATCCTCCGCTCTTGACGACATGATACCAAGCAGTCAATTTTCACTTAAAATGGTAATGGTAAATCTTATTTATAATACTTACCTGCCTTAGGGCATATTTAAAATTACCAGTTAACTTATCAAAAACATTTATTTATACAAAACAATACAAATAAATACAGAATTCTGAATGAGTAATCTATACTATGTATTAGCACGATATTCACCTAAATTTATGTTAAAGATTAAATTATTCTTTCTGTATATATAATATATATCTATTGGTAACTCTGTAAACATAATATTAAAAAAATATACATCAAATAAAAACAATTTTATACAACTACATATATAACTATTTATATAAAAATATGGTTAAATCAATTAACCAGTGTCATTTGAACTCAAAAATATTTCATAATATCTTTAATGATATTATGACCTTTTGGTTTTGGTTGCTTTGCTGTCGCCTTTGGATTTGGCTGGTGAGCTCTTGTAGGATTTCTGGTAGAAGTCGTTGAACAAAATGTAGAAGAAGATGGCATTTGGCAAGGTGAAGAAGACGGACCAACGAGGGAAACCACAGTCGTAGAACAGAAGTTGAGCAGAGTGCAAGAAGGCCATGCAGAACTGAACCTGAGGAAAAAATAAAAGTTAAATAAGAGAAACAGAACTATGCCAATACTATATATATGTATTTATTTAATTATCTCCTTCTACTTACCATTTGCAAATGGGTTATATACTTCTTCCACCAGATGTACTTCTGGTATTTAGGTCCCATCGCTGCCAACATGTAGTAGGTGTACATGATGATATGGACAAATGAGTTGATAACACCAATGAAGGTTCCGTGTCCACCAGCAAAGTATTTGGTAACACCCCAGGACACCATTGGCATCACGGTATGATGGTACATGTGCAGGAATGTGATTTGACGATCTTTTTTCCGGAGAACAAAAAATACAGTGTCTAGAAGTTCAGAAATCTTAGCCAAGAAGTAAATGTACACGCCTCTTGCTATCTGCAATAAAAAACAAGTGGAAGATAATTGTACTGTGATCTCTTACACTAGATAATGCGCCTAGCTGGATAAAGTGAAAGATAATGAACACAACTATTGCTGAATCGTTGGTTCGTTGAAAATGAAAATGATTGTTTGTTGAAATGGAATTTTTGTTTACTTACCCTCATTGCTTCTTCCGAATTTGAATAATCTACTGGCTCGCATTTCCAGCTATATTTTGTTAACCAAGCTGCATCCAATCCCTGTAATCACCACAAACGATCTATATAATGAACAATTTCCATCCAAGTTTCATTTTAGTTTTATTCCACATACCTCATAGAATAGAAAGATACTAAGAAGCACTTGTAACAAATTATATACAATAAGAAGTCCTTGCATTTCGTATGGTTTTCTATGCGCCATATATTTTGGGCCCCAATTTAGAACAAAAAACAAGTAAACTCCCAATATCGTCAATCCTGGTACAGGACTTCCAATTAAGGGCCATGAGTTCGTCCTGGGATCTGGGAAGAATAAAAATTAGAATTTAGGAAACGTTAACTTTTCTTCCGAAATGGTGAAAAGAACTAATTATT